GGGAGTGGCGTAAAAAACACGGCAGAAGTGGCAGGAGAGCCCAGCAGCTCAATTGAAATTTAACTGAGAGTGGAAAAGGATGGAAGGGAGCGTAGAGGGGCTCAGGGGGAAGGCATCAGAGATTCTTTACCCCAACACTGTAACTCACTCAGTCAGTCGTCTTCTCAGGCAATCCATGCACGTGTTCCTCTAACACACCTCCTACAGCCACAGCCCCACAGCTCCACAGCTCTTCTAACAAGCGTGGGAATTGGGGATTGGACTTAGATTAGATTCATACATTTGCAGTGACTGAGTGGACTGACAGGCATCTCTTGTCTTTTCCTGTTTGATCCCATCAATCCATCACCAACTGTTTGCTCATTGTGTTATGGAATTTCGAAGCACGTCCATCGTTGGATCCTCCTCTAATGCTATAGGCCTTGGGATCTGAGACACTTCACATAAAAATTACATTTCATTTCCACAGAAACACTGAGGGGGAGAGAAGGTTGTCCCCCTCCGTAAGGAGCCTCACAGAACCTGATTCAGTTTAGGCCCAATTGAAAATTTGATCCCACTAAGACTTACATCAGTTTTAAAATGGGATTTTTCTATTAAACTTATGGTATCACATTGATACGAGGAATGCTGAGATATTCACTTGTATTATTAAGCACTTTTATAAAGCTATAACAATGATACTTTAGCCATTTCGTAACAGGATACAGACACTTTTTTGAAGGTTCCTAGAAAGACATGCAAAACAAAGCAAGCAAAAGAAGAGGCAGGTTACGCATACGAACTGCTTTAATGTCAGAAAAAGGTCTGAGGTACAAACTATTTCGAGAGAACAAACATCCAAAAAGACAATAGTTTTTTTTTTTTTTTACAAGGATAATAGTTAGGAGAAAAAAAGACAATAGTTTAGTAAAAAGGAAAAATGGAAAATAAACCGCCCCAATTGTGTGATCATGGCGATTCAGTCAAAATATAGGTCTAAGAGTTAATGAAATTAGAGCTGCATGTTATCGGATTTAGAAAGAAAATAACTGCATAAAACAAGTAACAAAAAGTAACAACCTATTCCAGTCGATACTTGTAAAACCTTCTGAGGCTAAAAAAGAATACCATTCAAGCTCTCAATTTATGAATAAACATGACTAACCCGCATGCTCTATCACTAGTCATAAAAAGTCACTTGCAGCTACAGATCAGGTAAATACAGCAGACTCAGCACAAAAACAAGCAAGCAACCGCATCAATCTCTATCCTGTACCCTCTTCAGCAACAGCATTGGTAGCTTCAGTAGAAACCAAACCCAGTTTCTCCTCAACCTTCTTCCAGGCGTTCAGAAAGTTAGTAGGGAACTTATTCTTCAGCGTCCTGATCACCTCTTTCGCTTCTTCCATCTTGTTTTTCTTCGCCAATCCTTCCACCAAATGCTTCAAAGTGTTAAAATCCGGGATCTTGCGCTTCCTCACGCTCTTCTTAAACACCTTATATGCCTTCCCATACTCCTCATTCCTACACAAATAAAATATCAAAGTCCTAAAAGTCGCTGCATTTGGGTTACACCCATTACCCTTCAAATCCTCATATACCTTCTTAGCCTCCTCTATCATTCCATTCTTAAAATAACAGGTCATGAGATAATTATAACTAATGATATCTGGTTTCAAACCCACATTTCTCATCTCATTGATCAACTCCTTAACTCCTTCTGGCTTACCCCCTTGCATGTTCATGAGTCTCACATTATACACAGCAACATCCAATTCACACCCATTCTTCAGCATCTGATTCCATAACTTGTTGGCCTCCTCGCTTTTCCCCTTCTTATACAAAGCATTCAATATCGTGGTAAACATCACTGTATTCACCTCTATGCCTTTCTCCTGCATTTCTAACAGAGAATCGATGGCTTGCTCAGCCAAACCCGCTTCACAGTAAGATTTAACCAAAATACCATACGAGACACCATCAGGTGAAACAGGATATTTCTTGGGAATTTCATCGAACAGTTGGGGGACCTTATCAAATTGCCGCGACTCATTGCACGCCATGAGCAATGAGTTGAAAGAAATGGCAGATCTGGGGGTACCCAGTTCGTCCATTTGATGAAAAGTTTTGATGGCATGATCTAACATGCCTGAAAGGCCATACGAACGGATGAGATTGGATAGAAATGGTTCTTGAGTGATCCTGGGATCATTTTTGTGGGACTCAATGAGAGATTCAATGTCGGAGAAGCGGCGGGACTGGGCGAGGCGGCGTACAGTGAGCTCCTGGGCGTAGCGGGACGAGGAAGGGGAGGAATCGTGTTTCGAGGCGGAGGAGTAGATCTCGAGGGCTTTGTCGGGGTCATATTCAGTACGGAGTTTGGTTGTGGCTCGTGATATGGGATTGGATGGGGAAGATGTGGTGGTGGAGAGGTGGCGGAGGTGGCTCAGGCGAAGAGAAGCTCGCATCTTTCCGACTTTCCCTCTTTTCTCACTTATGTTCGAGTTTTGGGTGGAAGAAGAAAGAAACTACCAAGTCAGGGTTCTAGGGTTTTACAGGAATTTTACTTTTTTTTTTTTGGTGGATAAACCCAGCGGGGAAAATTTTACCGCTTGCGTTTTTAGTGACGAGTGGAATAAAGTTTTTAATTTTTTATAATGTTCAAAAATATTAAGCACAAACTCAATCAACGGTTTTGTATAAAGAAAAAGAAAAAGGAAAAAAAAAAAAAAAACTCACGGGATTAACTTGGGAGCTCGAAATTTATTAAAAATTAAAATTTTATATATAAAAAAATATTGAAATTAAAAATTAAAATTTTAAATAAGTTAAGTTAAATTTTGAGTGTGACTCAAACTTTATTGGAGTTTTCAATTTAAATTCAAACACACAAGGGGCTCAACTCATTTAAACCCTAACTAAAAATTAAGAGTTAATCATACATTTGGAGTAAGAGGATCACTTCCCTCAAAC